GAGAAAGCAAGAGAGCTGGTCAATTTTTCCGAGCCCCACCGTGAAGCAGCCCCTCTTCGGCCGCACCACCACGACAACCAGCTGAGTCGTGTACCTCCACGTCGCCGCCACTGGCCCGCTGTCGGTCATCGTCCCGTGATCCGCAATCCCGATCCGCCGGTGATTCAAATTTGGAAATATCCACAAATTAGGTAAGATTCTCATCTATATTCTTAGAATATTCAATTTCCTAATCTTTCAGGTGTTTGAATATTTCGTGAATAGTGCGTGGATTGCTAGATATCTTAGGATAATATTTGCGATATCCGCAATATTCGAAAAACACCCAAAATTAGGAATCATTCCTGAATTTGGCAACGTATATCTGGGCGACTATCCGACCTTATCCCTAAGGTATGATACGCGGCGATACGGAAAATCGTTATCTCTGTCCATAATCACTTGGATACGATAATAGATTTGATTTGCTTTCCCAATTTAAACAATCAACTTTCTACGTCGATATCTATAACCCTATAGATATGACCGTTAGTTTGATTTCTTTGCCTTATCTGAATTTGAAGAATCTTGCGGATTGCGTGGATTGTTTGAATGTGATTAATATCTTTGTTTGATTGTTTTCCTTTTAAATAAAGAAAACCAAAAAAATTTGTTAGTTAGATTTAAATTAGAAATTTTGCATGCTTAGGGAATCTTAAATATATCCAAAAGAATAAGATAATTATTTGATTTAAATTGGGATTTAGGGTGGCATATTTCCTAGTTTAAATTAGAAATTGTTTTAATCTTAGTGGATTATTTAGGATATTTAATAATTTCGAATTTTGATAAAAATCCCAAAAAAAGAAGAATCACTTTAGGATAGATTGCATGTTAATTTGAGTAATTTTTAATTCCGAATTTCATTTGAAAATACCAAAACATAAATCATTTGTCCATCATTAGAATTAGGTCACGTCGTCGCATGACATATAGTTTGCATGTTAGGCTGCATTAATCGCATGTTAATTTTTGCACGTCATTACATATAGGTTAGCTTTCATTTAAATAAGTGAAAATCCTAAAAATATTGAGTGAACTGCTTGTTAATTAGAAATCATATTAGGATGGTTGATGTGATTTTCTAGCTAACAATGCAGATGCTTACGTTGTTCGAGGTAAGTAATTCTCCCAATCTTGCAATTTATTTAATGTTTTGATTATTGGGTGTTACTTTGGTGGTTTGCGCACCCGCATGATCACCTCACATGTTAGTGACTAAGTTAAAATGAATCCAAACTATCTGCCAAAACATTTTTTGAAAAGAAAAGGTACCGAAAGGCGTTAGACTAGATCTAGCGTAACCAAGTCCCGAGTTTAGAATCTCGTTCGTAGGAATAAAACATATCTCCTATGTTTTATTTAGGTTTCTAATCGACCTACCACAAATAGATTAGTGGCGACTCCAAGCATGAAAACTTTGCGTGTTAAAAACTTAAACCCTAAGTTGCGAATTGGTAGAATGGAGGCCCGAGTTAGGCTTGGTCTTAATAATCCATTAGCCTGAAGAAAATTTAGGTCGCGACAAAACCGAAATCTTATTGTTGCGAAATATGATTATATGGATCTTCACACATCACGTTTAAGCCCTATATCGCTTTGAATCTCGACCTAAAACTCATGTTAAATCATGCCCGCCACATGCTTGATGAAATGTCCAAATGAAGTTTCAAGTGTGTTCTTGGGAAACCAATCTCTAATGCGTGGTTTGTTCTAATGTCATTACTAACTCCGAGTTTTTGTTGCCTTTCATGTGATTTGGGGGGGCATGTTAACGTGGTTCGAGTCAACCGCGTATGTGTTTCCCGTCACCGGGGGTGCCGTTCCTTTAACCGGAGAAGCCAGCGGTTCAAGGCCGCAATCGTTAGCCATCTATCCTCATTTTGTGTTTGTTTGTGCTCGTTTCGTTCAGGTTAAATGTTTGTGGTATGGGCCGAGAGTAGGATAGTCAGAAAGCGAGTTTTGGTCGCTGGCGGGGAAGTTTTTTTTTTAGTGGCTGGTGTGGTCGCCGGAAAGTTGGCCAACAATGACGGCGTAAGGCCAGCGTTTGTCGTTGATGCTGGTGGCCCGAGCCGACCGCCGGCGATGGGCGTTCCCGGCATAATCCCAGTGACGGCATGAAGACGTTCTCGGTGAAGAGGCGAAAAGTGTTCTGGGGATAAGACGTCCAGAAGGGCACGCAAAGGTGGGGAAGCAGAACATATAAAATAAAGAGAAAATAAAAAGAAACAAAAATAAAAAAAAAAGAAACATTTGTTTAAAAAAATTTAAAAGGGATTCCGGGCGGGTCAGAGAGAGTCGGGTCAGGTGTCGGGCGGATCGGGTCAAGGGATCCGGTCCGGAATTTTATTTTATTAATAAAAATATTTAAAAATTTAAAAAATCCGAAAATGTTTAAAAATCCAAAAAATATTAAAAAGTCTGAAAAACATAAAAAAACATTAAAAAATTAGAAAAAAATTATTTAAAAAATAAAAATGAATAAAATTAATTAATAATAATTTAAAAATTCTGAAAAATTCCAGAAAATCAGGAAATGTTTCGAAATCAGTTTCTGGCTTAATTTCACTATATATTAGTGTTAATTTCATTCTGAGCTCAGTTAAAAACTTGGAAAAATTGAGAAATTAAAAAAATTTCCAAAAATTCGGACAAGCTATTAGGGCTTTACTTTAGGGATTTTGATTGCCTTTTCTTTTTTAGAGTCGATGTTAGGTCGTTGGTTATTTATTTTCTTTATGATTATCTGGTTGCGCACCTTTAATACATTGGTTATTATTTTCCATTTCTAGCATGGTTAGGTGGAATCTTAGCTTTTTCGATAGGCTGCCTGATACGTTGGTTTGTGAGTGTTCAAGTTTGGTACCGAAAGGGCACTAATTAGATCGCTAATGTAATCAAGTCCCCGATCTTTAAAATCTCTGATTTTCGCGCATCTCGAGATGATACTCCCACGTCTTAATTAAGGTTTCTAGCCAACCCTTGATTATGGCTAGTGACGACTCTAATTGAATTTGTAAATTAGACAATTCTCGTCGTGTGAGGTATGAGGCTTGGGAGTGCCTCGGTCTTTGGATTAATGAACTATTTGGTTTGTCCTTTAAACGAATCAATCAATGTTTACACCCATCGACAAATACCTCTTGGCCTAACCAATCGGGACGGCTAGGTCGCAACACTATGAGCTGGTGAGTGGTGACTAGTGAGTTAGATGTATCAGGTCCTTATATGTACATTACTTACCATAAGTATATAGATTTTGTCCTTTTTATCCTACTAAACAAATTATTGCGTGCACACAAACTCATTTGGACCATTCAATTTGGTGGAGATACATCTGCTTTGCATAAGAGACTTGTGATATTTAAGGCTTGTTTGTTTACAATTCAGCATGCTTTCTTGTCAGGATCTAACATTAGTATACACGTTTAAAAAACTCAGGGAAAAAGTATATGGAAAATTAACAAAAAAGTTCAGAACTGATTGCATTTTTACCAATTCAATCTTAAAGTTTTTATTGTGCCAATTGATTCCTAAACCTTTCACATTTTGCTAATTGAGTCCATTCGGCGAATTTTAGTCGGAAATCACCTACGTGGATGTCGGCTGTCCTAAGTAGCACGGTTGACGCTAACGTAGATAATTTTAAAAATATTTTAATCTTTTTTTGAATTTTTTATTTACTTATTTATTCTTTTCTTCTCTTTTTCTTCTTCTTTTTTTAATTGTGGTTGGCGAAGGTCGCAGCCTCACCCAGCCTCGCTTAGATCTGGGTGAGGCTAGCCTTGCCCAGACCTAGACAAGGCAACCTCGCCCGCGACCGCAATGGTTTAGGCGAGGGATGCAGCTTGGGTCGCACGACCTACGCGACCGTCCCCTGAGTTGGGTGAGCCTAGGCGACAGCTGCCTGAGGTACAGCGAGGGCTTGGTGGCCCTTGTCTAGTGGCCGGTAAGGGTCGGCTGGCGAGGTTGTCAGCCATAGTAAAAAAAAAGAAAAAAGAAAAGAAGGAAAGAGAAGAAAAGGAAAAAAAAGGAAAAATAAACAATTTGAAATTTATCCATGTCAACAACTTCCGGCTAAAATTGGAATAACGTGAAAATATTTATGACTTAAATGGCATAATTAAAATGTTTAGGATTGAATTGATAAAAGTACAATAGGTTTAGAACTTTTTGGACAATTTTCCAATTTATATAAGAGACCTGTGATATTTAAGGCTTGCTTGTTTACGATTCAACATGCTTTTTTGTCATAATCTAAAATATTATACACATTTAAAAAAAGTTATTGAAAAAATATATATGTGAACTTACGTATTGATATATGTATTTTGTGAAAATTTGGAGAGTGTTTTGGATTTTACAAATTCAATACACGTGATCCGATATGAGGATTCTATTCACCATACTACTCTTAGAAACAACTATAGAAGGAAGGTTGGCTTGGTGTTCTCGGCTGAGCAGGCACCGCATGGGCTATTCCGTGGCCATGAATTGATCGACCTGTGAAAAATGGTATAAGAGTAGGATTCCTCCAGTAAGTGGGTGATTTAGGAAAAATCTGTGGTCTACCCGGACATATGAGAGCAAAAAGCGATCACCGGGGCTAAGGGGGCTCGGACAAGGTGCGGCTCTCATCTAACTTTGAGGATGGCAATGGGGGCACAAAAAGGAACCGAATTGCTCACTAAATAGGGGAAATGATTATGGATCAATGGGCGAATCTCATAAGGAGGTCCGCTACCACATTTTCAACAAGGAAAGAAACCTCTATTGGTCTACTGGAGATTAGGAGAAGCCCAGTAGGCGAAAGAAGATGCGGCCGACGTCCACTTCAGCAATTTCCAGCTAATTTAATTGGCAAATTGTTAAAATATTTACAACTCAATTGGCAAAATTTTTTATAAAAAAAATTGGCAAAATTAAAAGATTTAGGATTGAATTAACAAAAGTGTAATAGATTTAGGACTTTGTGGACAATTTTCCCCGCTCTTTCTATTCATCTCATCTGCTCGTGTGAGACCAAAAGAAGAACGACACGGAGAAACTTTTTTAAGAGGATCAGATGCTGAAGTGGGGCGACCAAGCTCTTAGAGAGAAGATGATGACTAGTGCGACGATGGAGATTGGGGAAAGTGATGGGCGGCAGCGAAGCACTGCCTCTCCTGTTATTGAACCCCGTCTCGCCGATGTGCCGATCCATGTGGGACTCGGTGAGGTTCTACGAGGACGTTCTGGGCTTCGTCCTCGTCAAACGCCCTTCTTCTTTCGACTTCAATGGAGCTCGGTCCGTCTCTCTCTATCTTTATCTCTCTCATGTTATTGATATGAAAGACATTATTTCACTTTCGCACTGTGCCAAGCTTGCGTGTGCATGATTCTCTGTGTGTGTTTCGTTTTTGATACGTAGGCTATACAACTATGGAAAAGGGATACACTTGATTGAGAACCCATCGATTGAGGAAAACGACGCCATTTGACGAGCCGCGTCCAATCAACCCCAAAGATAACCATATGTCTTTCCGTGTAAGTTTGATACAGCATAAGTCTCCATTAACTGGGAGAACGGTAAGGCACAATTGAATTTGAATTACAAGTCCTAGTTGTTCAATTGTTAAGAGGATTCGTTTCAAAAGAAATTGTTTCGGAAGTAAGCGATCGAATAGTAAAATAGACGGAATAAAAAAATTAATGAGACACCAAGTTTTACGTGGCTCGGTTTTAGTGACCTACGTCCAGTGAGGAAGGAACAATGAATTTCTAAATCAAGTGATACAACGGATATTATAATAGTACTCGAGTCACTCAAATACTCTCAGTATTTTCCAAACCTTAATTACACCCAATAACTCACACAATGTTCAATCTACAATTTCTCACGAAATAATCTCTCAATCTCATAAAGGAATTACACATAAATTCCTACCACAAGACTTTAATTGATTTCAACACTTGAATTTTTGATGTAATTTCACGAACAAAATCCACGAAAATAACCCACGCCAAGGACTCACTTAGGGTGCGCATGGAATGCATTCCGGAATAAAAATTCTGTTTCGGAATGCATTCCGGAACAGAATGGCGTTTGTTAAAAAATTTCCGGAATGCATTCTGGAGCGATTTTTGCATTCTGGAATAAAAATGCGTTTGTTAAAAATACTTGATTCCAGAATGCATTCTTGATTCCAAAATGCATTTTTGATTTCGGAATGAGTTTTTAGCAAGAAAAAGAGAAGCTACTTTTTGTAGCTTCTTGATTCCGGAATGCATTCTCCCTATTTTCTCACAATTTTTTTTTTTCAGAAAATGCATAAAAATTGAAAAATTCTAGAAAAATTCATAAAAATTTCTAGAAAATAAAAAAAGTCAGATTTCGGGAAAATATGAAATTTGGTGAATTTTTTTTAAAAAATAAAAAAAATCAAAAATTTCAAAACTTCACATAATAGCTTAAAACACGTGGCCACCCACTTTGAGTGAAATTTAAATTTTTTGAGGTGCCCAAAAAAAAATCAAAAAATTTCAAAACTTCACAAATGGCTTAAAATACCTGTGGCCACCTACTTTGAGTGAAATTTAAATTTTTTGAGGTGCCCAAAAAAAAGAAAAATAATAAAAAAATAAAAATTTTCAAAACTTCACAAAATGGCTTAAAATACCCGTGGCCACCCACTTTGAGTGAAATTTAAATTTTTGAGGTGCCCAAAAAATAAAAAAAAAAAAAAAATTTCAAAACTTCACGAGATGGCTTAGAATATCCATGTAGCCACCCACTTTGAGTAAAATTTAAATTTTTTGAGGTGCCCAAAAAATAAAAAAATAAAAAACTTCACAAAATGGCTTAGAATACTTGTGGCCACTCACTTTGAGTGAAATTTAAATTTTTTTAGGTGTCCAAAAAAAATTTAAAAAAATAAAAAATTTCAAAACTTTACAGAATGGCTTATAATACATGTGGCCACCCACTTTGAGTAAAATTTAAATTTTTTTAGGTGCAAAAAAATCAACAAATCAAAACAGATTTGAGCAGAATTAGTCATGTTTTACCAAACAGATTTCTCCTCCATAAATCAATTTCCAAGAATTCCGGAAATCAATTTCCGGCAAGAATTTGATTTCCGGAGCGTAATCTGCTTACCATTCGCACCCTTAGAAACGGCGCTTCAAGAATCACTTCACGTGTTCATCAACAACGGTGTAACTTTTACGAGGGTTCTGTACCTACTCTTTTAACAATCTAACCAAAGAGGAAAATAAACCCATATATATATATATATATATATATATATATATATATATATATATATATATATATATATATATATATGTAAATAAAATATACTTCCATGGCTACGTACAGTTGCCAACAACATCCAATAGGAAACCCCCATGCCTCGATCAACTCAAATTTCCTCTTTTGATTTTCTTTTTCCTTTTCTTTTGGCTGCGTCCAATTCCTAATAGGGATTTGCAGCATCTTTTTTTTTTTTTGGTGAGGGAAATTTGCAGCATCTTTCTTTTCTTAATATTTCCAATATCCACATAAATAATCCAACTTTCGGACTCTAACACCGAAAAAATAATATAAATTCCTATTGCACATATTTTAACATCCTTAAATAATAATTCATCTCAGATTGGGCTTCGTTCATAGGATTAAACTCAAGACATATTTTAACAGAAATTGTAGACCAAGATGAGAACCTGTGATTTTTCGTTGCATTCATTGATTTAGAAAGCATGGATGTCACCATAACTTGATCGTTTTGTCTTCTTTATTTAGCGAGGACCCCTCCATCGACACCCCTCGCTCTATCGTTCACATTTGCCAAAGTGTTGAACATTTGTCTTGAGTTTGAGCCCAAAAAAGAAAGTTTTCTAAATCAAGTAGGCTTCCTATTTTGATAGGTTTCCTAGTTGGTGTACGTTTCCTAAAAAGAGGTTTCTAATATTAGATCCAATTCCTACCTACATATAAAAATGGATGTTCTTTGTTAAGAGAATCAAAGAGGAGTTTCTGCTGGTGAATGACATCCTGAAGATATCCGAGTGTGTTGTAGTCAATTAAATCTTTGAGTAAGATTTGCGAATTCCTTTGTGAGATTGAAATATTATATAGCGATGAATTATGGGTTTAAGCACTACGTAAGTTATTGGGTATAATTGGGGGCTGTGAACACTAAGAGTGTTTGAGTGTGGTTGTAATCTTGTTGCATTGCTTGATCTATGGTGAAATTCTTTGTGGCTCTTCCTGACCGAACCATGTAAATCTAGCATGATATATCTTATTGTTTGATCGCTTGTTTTCGTAACAAATGGCATCAGAGCAGATGGTTGATTGGTGCTCCACCCCAATCTGTTATGGTGTTTGATGAATATCTCAAGAAAGAAATCTCATGATTGACGTTTGTTTCGGGTGAAAATTGCCATCACGGTTGGTTTGGCTAGAAGAGATCACGAACAGTTGGTTTAGTAACGTGAGTTATCGAGAAGAGACCGTGGATAGTTGATCTGGTGACGCGAGATCGAGACTATGAGTGATGCAATCCCAAGTTAGTAGTTAATGATGGTTGTTATGCATAGTTACGAGTACATTGAAATGACTTGGAGATTCGAATTGAGATAAGTTGATACAGAAGAATACTTGAATTAAAGGGGAGCAAACCTAACACATAGAAAAGCTTGACGTACTGGTTTATAGCAAAACAAGAAAAAAACAAAAGACTAAAGTCAAATCTAAAAATTAGAAATTATTAAAGCACATAGAAACTAGAAGTACTTAGGAATTGGAAGCTATTAAAAGTACAATATTTCCAATGTTTGTGGCCATCTCAATAAGTCTTGTTGCAATCTTCAAATGTATGGGTAATGACAAAGTCAAAGATGAGACTTTTCACTTATCGATGAGGTTCTTCAATTGTCAATGAGGGTGTTGTTGAGCTTGAATGCATGCTGACCTTCTTGGTTGACTGAGTTGGTCTTTAATATGGGCTGCACCAGATCAAATGTTGGAATGAGTCAAGGAAAATGTAAACTTGTTTCTAAGAGCGATGTGACTAATTACCATGTAAAGATTGTATGCAAATTTGTGTTCTTCTGTAGAACTCACTGCGGATTTACATAGATGCTTGATATGCATTAACTGATCTGGTGGAATGAGTCACGGAAATACTTACCAGACAAAAATCACAATTGTTCGTTTTAACCACTAGCAAATAATTGTTGAAATTATCAAGTCTACAAAAAAAATTCATCATCATGCGTCAGGAACATGTTTGAGATTTAATATTATCCCATACCTGTCGTTGTTGTCCATATTATCCTTATATTATGTATACATTCGTCGTGTCTCGTGCTTCTTTCTTGAGACGGTCACCAAAATCTTTAGCGCCCTTTTTGACTACCACACATATAGTCTCTAATTCCTCACACTTCTCGATCCCTTCAACGACTTTCATACTTTTGAGGAACCTACACTCCAGTTCTTTGAGATGTTGCATTGCTCCTTGTTCAATAATCACCTTCTCAAGCTGTGGCAGCCTCCAAATCTTCAAGATCATGAGGCTCGGAAACCCATCTTTGATGAACCTCAGACTAGTGCCTAGGAAAGAATCGGCCAAGAGCCTAAGCGTCCTCAGGTTCCTCAGGAGACCACCCAACTCGGGCATCATGTCTATTTTCACCTTCGAACCTGACAGAGTCAATACCCTGAGTGAGCCCGGCAAGAGCTCTGTCCAGATGGGTTTTTCGAGTTGGCCCAGCAAGTAGAGCTTGAACAGGTTGTGATGTTTTTCAGCCAACGACAGTTTCGGTGACGGGCCTATATGCGATGGCTTGGTTTCTTTTGCGGGCTCGGCTTCTTTCCGGGGCATGGCTTCTTGGATCACTCCAAAGGTCAAGGACTGGAGATTGGTGAGCCTGAAGCTAATCCAATCTGCTACTGCTTTTCCTGCAGCGCCTGATGTGTCCGTATCAGTATCCGAGCGTTGCAAGAAAAGCTTGAGCGTGGTGAGCGTGGTCAAGCTGTCCGTATGGTCCCTCATCAAGTTCTCGTTGACCTCACCAATGACCAGCCCACTTAAGGTTTGGAGTTGAGCCAAGGCCATGTCATTGTTGCTACAAGCCTTGAGGATCTTCTTCAAGTTGACGTAGAACCAGTTGATATGCAGGTGCCTCAAGTTCCTCGCCTTCCACAAGGAACTCGGCAGCGAAGTGATGTTGGTGTGCTTTATGTCAAGAGTCTCGAGATAGTGCAGATCCGCAACCTCGCGTGGGATCGAGTCCAACACTGTGGATCTCAATCCTAGGTACCTTAGGAGCACCAGCTTGTGGAGCACACCTTGCAAGGATGGTTTATACACACCCTCCAAGTCAAGCACCCTTAGCAAGCTATAATCAGTCTTGGACGTCAGCTTCCTAAGAAACTTGCTAATGTCTTTGGTGAGAATGCCTCTCCTCGGGTAGAATGACAGAAACGAGCGGACGTGGTCGAGGTTCAAATCAGGGTAGCTACCCCCGCTGCTGTCTGTGACAACACTCATGTGCTCCGCGAGCCACCGGACCCTGGCTCTCTCTCGCGTTTGGGCCGGCAGCTGTTGTTGCTGGCCGGTTGGGTCGTGGTTGTTCCTGTCTTTCGACTTGCCAGCAGCATGTATGTGGAGGAGCCCAGTGCTCTTTGCTATGAGGAGGATCATGTCATACAGAGAGGTGAGCATTTGGCAAGCTTTGGGTGATCCATCTCCCCTCCAGCTAACCACATCGATCATGTTCCTATCTGCAAGCTCCAGAATGAACGTCTCTCCCACATCCTCGGGTAGCCTTGTCGTATTCACTTCTCTGTTGTGACAATACAAATCCAATAAGCCCTCCGCCAACCACAGCCTCACTAGCCTTTTTGTCGGGATCGGGGATGCTACGGGGAACAAAGCCATGTAGATGAAGCATGGTTTTAGATGGTTTGGTAATCTATGGTAACTCAATTCGAGAATATCTGATAATGTCATCATAGGACCATCTTTCGGCAACGCTGTGCGTTCGTGCTCTCCAGCATTCGACAGTAACCCACCAAGTAAGGATATATAGAGTGGCAAGCCACGACACCTCTCTATCATAGCCTTCTCCACATCCGTGAGGCTCTTAGCATCGGGTGCTCTATGCAACTTCTTAGCGAGCATCTTCTGGATTTCTTCCTGGCCGAAGTCTATTAGCATGATCAGATCCTCGTGTGGACTTATCGCCTTAGCTATGCCATCGTCTCGAGTCGTGGTAATTATGCAGCCCTCTGAGGGGAGCGGGAGGATCATCAGGAATCTTTGCAAGAGTTGCTCGTTGGACGGCTGAACATCATCCAACACTATGAGGAACTTCTTCGTCGTGGCCAATTGCTTGTATAGTTTATCCGTTATCTGGTACAAACTCATGCCCCTCATGTCCCCTACTAGGTTGTCCACTTGCTTCAGTATCTCGAACAGGAACTCCCCCGTGTCCATGCCGGCTGAGACGTGGACCCAAGCGCGCGGATTGAAGCCCAGGTACATCGCTTCCTTGTAGACCAATCTCGCGAGGAACGTCTTGCCGGTGCCTTGCTCACCCACAATCGAAATCACGTTCCTTTCACATTCTTCCCGACTTCACATTCTTCCCGATCTGTTCCATAATTTTCTTTTTCTCATCCTGGCGCCACACGAAATTCGTGGACGGTTGCTGATCCCAGAAAGTAGTCAGCCTCGCCAATTTTTTGCCTTGCCAGGGATCACTAGCATGGGAGGAGGAACTAGTGACATTCCGAAATTTCCACCAATTGGAATTTATTGAATAATTGAGTTTTATGAAATGTGCTCGCATGAAATTCTCGGAGCGAACGATCATTCCCGGGAATGCTAACTAATTAGGGAAAGGCTAATAGGGGAATTAAATTCGGGTAATATTTATTGGAAATTCAGAAAATTAGGAGCTGCGAATTACTGTTCATATGCCTCGAATCACTGTTCACTGGCTGTGGATTACTGTTCACCGAGCTGTGATGGTCCGATTACGACGCAAGTTGAATTTTTGGAACCTAGATATTATGGCGAGAAAGTCCCGTGAAGGATCGGAATTAATCCGACGCCGTTTGGTTGGAGAAAATGAATGGGAATTATCGTATTGGATGCATATTTAAATTATTAGTAAATTGTGGTAATTAAGTTGAGTATGCTGTGGCGTGCTGTTGGGTACGAGAATGATACCGTTGAGTCCGGCTCGGAGTTTTATGTAAGTGTCGGGAAGAGTCGGAGGTGTGATTTTGTGGTTTGAGTGCGAAATTACTGCTCACGAGCTGTGAGTACTGCGTACCGTTGCTTTGTGGTGAGTCGTTTGATGCGTGTTCGGTACCGTTAGGTCCGTCTTGGAATTTTATGAAAATCCCGTGAAGGGCTGAAAATGATTTGAAAACATTTGAACAAAGAAAAATGTTGTTTTATGCGAAAATGTGCTTTTGTGTGAAAATGGTGATTTGGTGAAGTGTGGGGTGCAAGTGTGCACGGAATTTGAGGCAATGGCATGAGAAAGTGAATGTGGGATCGGACCGAGGCGTGTGATGCTCGGGGCGCGATCGAGGGGCCTGAGGCGTGAACGAGTACGCGGGTCGGATGTGGTGAGTGGTCGCAGTGTACCTAAGGCGTGTACGTTTACGCAGGTCACTGGCGAAGAATGAGAAAGAGGAAATAAGAATGGATAGAATAATGGGATAAGAGTGGTATATGCGCGTGTTTACATTTGACAGGATTGAGTTTGAATGATGTTGTGCGCATGTTTGAGCCTGGCAATATTATTTGTTGTGCTTGCAATGTGATGTTTCAGCGTGTGGTGATATTGAGTGTTTGAATTTAATTGGCGCTCATGGTGCATTGCATTGCATAACATGAACACGCATTGTGTATGCCGAGAGTGAGGTATGTGATGAAATTGTGTGAGAATGCGTGTCTGCCATGAGCATGTGATCACCTAAAATGCCCTGAGCGTTATACGGCAGTTCGAATAATAATAAGTTGTGTGATCACCGGAAGGACCTTCGGGTCGATACCGTCCTCATGCACTTTGAAGCGGGACGATGCCCGGTGCGTCCGGAAGACGACAATCCTCATGCACTTTGAAGCGAGGCTGCGGTTCGTAAGGAGATCAGTGTTGCGCCTCATGCACTTTGAAGCGTGCTAGAGACCAGGCCGGATCGGTTCTTTGCGCCTCATGCACTTTGAAGCCGGGCTAGACGCACCGGGCCGTTAATAATGTGGACTCGAGTCGTAATTAATAATAAATTGGGAAATTGCCGTGTGCCGGTGTGGGCCGGTGGGCCGGAGAATGCATATGACATGTAGACGACATTTGCATGAATGGAACATGCATAGACTGGCATGCGAATGTATGAGAATCGGTGCATGAACGTGTGATTGACATACGTGTGATTATGCGTGCCACGCATGTGCCGTGACTATTGTATGTTGATCCGCCTAACCCGCAGGGTCGATAATTGTCGACTATTGTGGTATTGTGATTTGAATAATTGTTTCCAGTCAGGAGATTGCATGCTAGCCTAGCCTAGGTTGGGTTTAGGGGTGAACTTACGAGAAGTGTTCTCACGGTTGTTTCAACCAACAATTTCGAACCCCGACAGGACCCATGAATCTTCCGCCACCGCCACCGAACGTTTTGGAGTCCTCGGTGGATGGGACGGTATAAAGGGACTCGGACTCGGAGGACAAGGAATCGGACTGGAATGGGTTTTTGGCGAGCACCATTTTTGGAGTAGTAGTAAACCCAAGTTTTCATCCTTGGAGTATCGGTTTTTGAGAAAGGCGATATGCATGTACATGTATGGGACAGTTTATAAATGTAAATATTATGGTATAAGAAGGAAATGAAAAAGATATGTATATTCTCCCTGATTTTTCTCCCCAGTTTTAATTGTCCGGGTTTAATTGTTGATATCCGCTGTGGTAGTAAATCTCTGATGGCGAATTTGAGGTCAGCGATATTCCTGGGACGTCGCTTGAATCGACCAGAGGCGGTGTCGCGTGCCGTAGGGGTTCGGGGCGTGACAGGAACTAGCCTCCTCCTTGCTCCTCAGGTACTGATCTTGACACAACTCCTCAATGTCATTCACCAAATTGGACAAGTCCCTATACAGCATGTACTTTGGGACGAGCACGGTGAGCGGCCTTGTGGCCATGTGCCTCCAGCGTGCATCTCTGAGGTGGAACTTGTCGATGAATACCTCAGCATCAAACATGGCTCGGAGGAGCCGCATCAACCACTCCGTGCTATCGGACGGTCCATCTTGAGTGGAAAAGAACTTTTGGATCATGGCCAGCTTCTCCTTGGCAGCATTCGCTTGGGTTTCCATGGATAAGCATCCGAGTTGCACTGGGTGAGAGAGCAAGATCTCTAGTTTCTGTGACACGATCTCGGTGGCGGCTTCGGCGGCCATTGTGTAGCTTCTCTTGTTGGAAGCAGCCATGGCTGATCAATATGTTTATTTCGAGCAAGGTCTTGTGTGTGTATGTCGGCTTGTTTGCTTTGATTGAATTAATTTGTTAGGACATATTATTCCCTCTCTATGTATATAATTCATTTTTCCAAGCTTTTTTGGGTAATGGCCTCTCCAGTCCACCCCAAGCTTTGTTTGGTTCTTTGCTTGTGCGGTTTATGACCGTGAGACAGGGAGAAAGTATCTCTGAGAATGATTATGATAAAGGGACTTAAGGTATAAGTTCTTTGCTTGTGAAAGCTATCGTATCTCTTAATAAAACAATCTTACGTATCCATCTTAATAGTCCTTATTTTACTTTTATACGTGAAGAGAATCAATTGGATCTTTACAATCGGACTAGGAGTTGAGAGATAACAAAATATGATCCATCAATAATTTATTATTTTGATCAAATTCTACCCACCTTAAGAATTCTTCATTTTACCAACGCAGTGCTCCATATAAGTCATGTGGGTTTACAGAGATATATCAGACATATATTGAAAGAGAACTCTTAATTAAGTAATTGAATAATCAGAATCATGTCAACAATTAAATATCGTCTTCGTTACACAATAGAGTTTAAGACATTACACAAGAGAGTTTCCTGTGAATAAAAAGGAAAGTATATATTTATTTATTCAAATTTTAGGCGAGTCTTGCAAAAGTTTTAGATTTCTGATATTAGAAAAAAGTTAGAACAGTGGTATAGTGAATTCATAAGAACCTACCTTTTTTCTTCCCTCAAACTAACCACGTTCATCACTCATTCTTTGCTTGGAAACGTGTTTAAGGTATGGGATGCTTGTGCCTTTCCGTGATCTTTGTTTTCGCATTTCACTTTATCCAGGTCGGAATGCGGTTGGTCATTCCTCATAGTACTTGCACTTAGCCTGAGAATGTTGTAAAAGTATATATAGCATTTTGTTCTATATTTTCCGAAGAAGCCATCTTGGTCACTATTAATTTCAGATGGCTATCAATTATCAAAATGTAGCGATATCGATTAACAACAATGAAAATATTTAGCTTATATAAAAAAATACTACTGAAAGCATCACAATGCTCTCATATTATTTAATCAACCGGTTAATTTTCGAGAGGCTATCTCATCATCTCAGGTAAATAGTTTAAATTACAATTTAACATACCAATAGCACACAAGGCAGGAATCCCTATCGCAACAAATAATTTGCCAGTCTGTAGAAAACTACGCTTGGCTTTACGAGAAGGAGCCTTACTTTCTCATTGTCAAAACTTTCATCGGGCGATGACTATTGTGTTTAATTTGTTGTCTCATTGTGTTTCGCAATTGCAGTGTCAATCGGTAGATCGCTCTTTCGTCTAGAGAAACTATTTGAGAATGAATGGTGGATGATAATGTGATGAATACGTGCCAGTCAACGACATCAACGGATGAGATAGGGGAGAACGAGGGTTGTCAGCATCCACACGTACCCTATTCCTCGGTCTATTGAAGTACCTGCATGTCCAAGACCGACAGGCCCAATCGTTTTTACTCTCCATTTTCCCTTTTTTTGGGTCATTAATCATTTTTACTCCGATACAACACAAATTTGCTGGTAACTATTTCAAATCTCAATAAGCTGAATAGAAAAACTAAACCAGCAAAACAAAACATGTACGCGCCACGACTTTCCTCAGGTGAAAAAGCAAAATGGGAAAATTACTCTAAAATGGTATTTCCAAGAAATGTTTTCCTGATGAGAGGTTGTCATAATCAGACAACCTGATTAATCTGATTTCTTGCACTAAAGATCTTTTATTAAAGATATTTCGAGAAACAGTTCGCTCCCCATCTCAAACAAAAAAGAAAGAAAGAAAGAAAAATTCAGTTCAGGATAAACCTGAAACAACTCCTCTTACTTTGTATACAAAAATGCTCCATTGTCATCCTCAAAATGCAACACAAGGATAAACCACTCGTCGGGGCCCGCGGACCATCGCCGGACCTTTCTGGCGATTTTAGCTTCTTTTTTTTTTTAATTTAGCTTATAGATTAATCTAATTAAATAAAATTTGGGTTAAAAATAATATTTGAACCAAAACAACAATGTTTTCGTCTTCTATTTTATGTTTTAATCACATCAGCGCCCTACCTACATTTATTAATAATGAGAATATTATCCGCTAACTCTTTTCTTAGAAAATATAAATGAATAAAATTAGGAAACAAATTTCCAAATCGTTGATTTTCTGTGAAACAAATGTAGCCTAATTTAGCCTTTACATATATATAGATGTTAACTTTATGGATGCTATAATATTAATAATAAAAATTGAACAGAAAATTAAGTAGCTCCTTTCTTAATTAAATAATCTAGTTGGCTTTAGAATGAACTTCTGAGTAAAAAAATAATTCACATCAGTAAATTAGTGGAATGAACGTAGCTCATTTTTTTAAGGCCAAGGAGTTGGCTACAAGGGTTAATTAAATGTTTGATCTGAGACGTACCATGGGTCCCGTTCGCAACGCACTTTGTAATTTATATAACTTTAGGGGCCATGCTCGCCACGCAATGTAGACAGACAAAATAGTTTGTATATGCAAATAAATAGGGTTAAAAGGTTTGGATACCTCTTTTATAAAAACACGTTTATACCACATATAAAAATTGTGTAGTCTGGGCCAATCTGGATAGTGGGCTAGTCGACCTGATAGCAACATAGGATGCTCTCATAATTAGGGGTGTCAATGGGTCGAGTCGGATTGGGTTTTCATAATATTTTGTAATTTATATAACTTTAGGGGCCATGCTCGCCACGCAATGTAGACAGACAAAATAGTTTGTATATATCAATGCAAATAAGTAGGGTTAAAAGGTTTGGATACCCTCTTTTATAAAAACACGTTTATACCACATATAAAAATTGTGTAGTCTGGGCCAATCTGGATAGTGGGCTAGTCGACCTGATAGCAATGGATGCATAATGGATGCTCTCATAATGGCTGTCGTCCTATAGGCCCTTGGGCCTCATATTAATGGTGCTGTGAGTTATCCTAGGACCTTAACCGTGTTTGGTAGTCTGGATTTCTAATCAGGATATGATTGTATAAAATAGGATATGAAATCCAATTGCGTTTGGTCGTCTGGATTTATAACCAGGATAGGATTGTTTATGATAGGATATGAAATCTGATGGATTTGCTATATCCTATCTACTATTTGATGAATTGCAGTAATAATGCCATATATTTTCACATATTACTATGTCAATTATTTACTGTGAATGTTATATTAGTGTAAATGAACCTAAAAATTGCACAAACGGAAATAATAAAAATTTCTCACGACACTCATAACTATTTCATTTTTTTTAATTTTACCCCTCTTTTTTATTATTTTCTTTTTTATTTCTTCCCCTTCCATCATTCTCTAATAAAATTTTATTAAATAGTAAACTATACAAATATGCCTAAAATATGTAATACATATAAATACTAAATGTGTATATATGTGTATATGAAATTTCTATCATAAGATAGAAAGAAATTTGAATATATAAATAAAAATAAGAATAAATAAAAACGAATTTATTGTTATTTATTGTTATTTTGAATTTTTTATATTAAAATTCAATTATTATTTATATTTGAATATTATTTTAATTTTATTAAATGTTATTTGAGAAAAATAAATTTTATATTATGGATATTAGAAATTAAATCTATATTTATCCCACCTCTCCCATGGGATAATTTTATCCGGGCTATATCACTTCTATATCCGACTTTATCCTCTCTTGAGTAGGCACCAAACACGGAATATAATTTTATCCTATCCCGAATTTTATCTTGACTACTAAACGTAGCATTTTCATTGTGCTTATAAAGTTGCAAATGTACTAATTTGATTTTTAGTATAACTTCAATTGAAACTATAAAAAAAATGTGTGATCTTTTGCTTCAGTTAGATGATTTATATGTACAATAAATACTATATGTATTGTGCCCGGATAAAAGAGCACATGAATCCTCGACTTCTCAAATAGCGATCTTCACTTTCCGGTATATTTTACTTTACATGGTCACAACCAATTCGCAAGCTTTTCGAGCTAGAACAATCGCTTAGTCCTTTCTCGATCATACTAATGATCTTTTACGTACTCAAGAACAAAACACATACTTCACGGTGTCTCGCATTATGTTATTTTTGTCGTCCCTTACCTTTATAACGAATATAAAAGAGAAAAACATAACGTAACGTCACGGTCCGTTTTCTTCTTCTTCATGTTTTTTTTTTGTCTCCTTTCGTATTGAACCAATTATTGCATGAGAAATAATAAAGATGTTTATTCCATCGGCGTCAACTAATTTGGTGGCGATCATTGGCCTTAAAACAGCTGGATATGTGGGAGTGCAAAATTCTAATAGTCCGTAAATATAAAATGGACAACTCCTCGATACATGTCGTTTGAAAATTCCCGGCATCACATGCCGGATTGGATTCTTCACCGACATTCAGCCATAAAAGGACGAAGAGAAAAAAAATTAATGGTCAAATTACTATCATATATATAAGATAAATTAATAGTAGTCAAAAGGAGGTGACTTCAACCACATATTTGGCATTTGGTGCTGCCTTTCTCGTATTTAATTTAACTACTTTATAATACGATACAATTCTGGCACAGAGAAGAGTTCTTTCCATGTGGGAAACTTTGTGCAACAACATTGGGAAAATTACCAAAAAAATCCTAAATTTTCAAAAATGATGAACTTTGTAAGAAAATATCCTTTGGTTCCAAAAATTCAAGGCTAATTGGTGTATCTTGAGGAATTTCAAAAACTCCTTCCCCGGGCCCATTGACTAAAGAGCTTTAATTGACTCAACAACAACCCTCTCGACTATTTCAGACAGAGGACATAATTAATTTCGAATTTTCAAATTTTTTGAAATTCTAATTTTGCTACGCAAGGTATGCTACTGCCTCTACGATTCATTTCGCGTGAACATTTGTATAGG